ACGTTGTAGGCTCTTCAGGTTGGCATTGCTAACAGTGACCGTTTATTAAACAATGCCAAGGTTCCATTCACTGTGCTAAGCACGTTCGCTATACAAGGTAGGGAGTGTTTGTAACCTTCCTGGGGAGAGGCGCTGTTCTTATTCCCATCTTACAGATGAGAAAATCGAGGCTTAACGAGGTTAAGTGAATTATTCGAGTCATAAAACTCATATGATAAAGTGCCAAGATTTAAATGCAAGCATGACTCAGTGGTTGTCAATTGATGTTGTTCCCCCTCAACCCCCCACCCTAGGGATATTTGGCAATGTCTGGTTAACAGTTTTGGGTTGTCACATGCCGGGGGTTGCTACTGGCTTCTAGTGGGTACAGGCCAGGGATGCTGCTAAACATCCTACAGTGCCCAGGATGGCGCCCCAACAAAGATTTATCCACTCCAAAATGTCACTAGTAAAGCTGAGAACCCCCGTCCTGATATCAAAGCCCACATTTCCTAAATTTTGGTTGTCAGCATCAGACACTTCCTATTGTTTTCTTTATTTGTGTTTCATTAACAACTATTGTGAAGTATTTATTATTTGTCTTAAATTGACTTCACATTGATGGACTTACAGGAATTAACTACACCTTAAACAATTATGCCCATGAAGCCATGTGTTGGATGTGTCATTCTTTTTTTTTTCTGATACACACTGAAGTAAATATAAAACTATTTTTAAAAATCTTTGTTGGGGCATCACCAAAAATCATCTCATGTGCCACCTCCAGTCTGGGGTGGGGTGGGGACACCATACTTTAGACTCACGTCACTTCTTCTATAAGGCTTCTCTTGTCTCTCCTGGACAAGAAAATACAATATATCAACTCAGGGTGTTGCTTGAACTTGGCAAGGTGCTCGGTATGTAGGCTTTGTTGGAGAAAGTCATGGAGAGGACATGAGAGCAGGATGACCCTGGAGTCAGACCCAGGCAAGCAGAGGCTTGGTCACCACTCCTCTGTCCCCTGTGCATTCTGCCCACTGCTCCTGCACTTTCAAAGATGGAGCCTTGAAAGGTATTGCTGAGACCATCTGGATGGTTCACATGACTGAACTCAGGGCCTCTGTAGGAACTGTAAGATTCTGGTGGGTGGGTATGGAAATGTCCTCGTCTTGTCGTCCCTACGTTAAGCCTATAAGTATGTTCCCTTGCCTGGTACACCTGCCACCCACCCATCTGGAGTGGCCTGCATTTCTTCTGCCAGTTTCGTATTTCACCCATGGAGCTCCCGAAGTTTTTGAATCCTCAGCTTCTGTTTCATCTCTTTTTTGCTCAAGGCTAACAGCTGCTTAGAAACCTCTCTGAACCCTAAAAGCCACCTGAGTTTGAGGGCCACCGCACAAGGAGTCTAATTTGTTGGGTTGCTTATGGACATTGGTTGCAAGTCCTGGTAAGCACACATCCTTTGTCACGTGACTCCCCTCCCGTCATTGTTGGGGAGTACAATTGCATTCTCTTTGCAACGTGCACTGTAGTCTGACATAATTAAGGCTAGAGCAAATGAGAGTCTTCTTTAGATATTAAAAGTGCCTGTGTTGTAAATAATAATGCTCTCTTCTTAGAAGGTGCTTTCATTAAGAGCTGCATTTTAATTTCAACACATTTGCATGAATTCATTTGCGTAGTGGTGGGGGGTGGCATTTGATGATGATTTTTCATCTTGCATGAACTTGCCAGGTGTTTCAATTAGGAAGTTTATAAAAACCCCCCAGCAGCCCTGAAAGAAATACCTTCTCAATCACATCTTCCAAACAGGGGGCATGTTTCCAAAAATCACACATCTGCCTATTAGGAGGTAGTGACCATTTGCTGACTGGATACACATAGAGGACCTTGACTTTTTTCTTTTGAAGAGTAAAATGAACCAAGATGATTCCTCCCACTTCTAAATAGTTTTCGAGGTTTGGGAAACAGGCTCAGGCAATATTCCAGGGGTTATTATCCGCAGCCATGTGGGGCAGGAGCATGAAGGGACTTTGTTTAGGGCAAACCTCAAGGGATTGGAGGTTCAAGGTTGGGAATCTGACACATAAGCCGTGCAGGGTGGATCTGGTCCGTTTCTCTCCCAAGCACCGTCCTGCACTCCCTCTGTCACATACAGGGGGCAGTCTCTGTTAATTAAAGCGGGGAGCAGCAGCTAGAGCCCTTCTGCTCTGAGGACCACATCAGATGTCCTGGTGACAGGCAATATTTTACAGAGATTGGATTGCACGAAAGCTTTTTTTTTTTGTAAATCAGATTCCTAAGTGCCTTAAAATCCCCAGCTCTCATGGGGAGGTGTCTGTGACCTAGTCTTTCAGGTTGTTGCTCTTAGCTCTCAGCCCTGATGCATGCTGGGAAGCGCCACAGTGAGGTGCCGCAAGGTGGGATGGCAGTCAGCATGCAGCCCTGGCTTTCGCGTTTGCTGGCCTTGTGACCTTGGACACAGCCCTTAACCTCTCTGAGTTTCAGCTTCCTGGACCTTAGCAAGCCTGCTGGAGCAGCTCTTTCCGATTCTGACGTCGTGTGTAGAAATATGCCAACCCCTTCACACGTGTCAGGACAGCAGAAACTCCGTCTGTCCTTGTCCTAAGTATTCCTTTCCTCTCTCGGTTTTTAAGACAGGGTCTTGCATAAAAGATCTTAATTATTACAGTTAATGAAAACAGCCCATAGGTAGTTTTTGAGGGCTTCTCACTGTTCTTGATGCTGGGGACTCTGCAAAGTCATGGGCATTTCCGTCGTGAAGTTACACTTCAATGTGGGGAGACAGAAAAATATAAATGCAAAATATCAGGTCAGGTGGATAGAGTCTGAAGGCCTATTTTAGGAAGGCACCGCGTTGCAGTGGTAGGAACACAGGCCCCAGGGTCAAATTTCTTGAGTCAAAAGCCAACGGTCCACGTCCCTCCTGAGCTACCCGGGGTAACAACAGGTTTAATTGCTCTGGGCCTCAGTCTCAACCTCTGTTGCGTGGGCCGAGTAGCATTACCTAATGTATAGAGTTATTGTAAATGAGGTCCGCCACTCAGTGGTTCAGCAAATACTCCCAGATTGTCTGTGAGGTGCTCGGCACTGCTCTGAGCATCCACAAGGAGGTGATTTTAGAAAAAGCAAGCTTAGTGGGTATGTCACAAGCACTGAATAAATGTCAGCTATCATTAGCTCACACACACACACCCCAAACTTGTGTTTGTAGAGACTCACATAGTGGTGGTAGGTGTGGGTCCACAGAAATGCCACACTGTTCATTTGGGGGACCCCATTGTGATGAGCCGGATGACTTTAGACTCAACACTCTCACACCTTGTCCAGGTGGGTTTGGGACATAATACAGCCCATAATTCAGTGAGTCTTCCAGGGCTGATATGCTCCTGGATATACTCTGTCAGTGTTGCCCTGGTGTGTTTTTGCTGGAACGGGGTCATTTTTTTGCGAGTCTTTGGGGGAGGCTGTAAGTGACATTTATTCAGAGACAATGCACAATTAGCCAAACTCCCTCTCATTCTGAGAAAACTTGCAGTAGAGTCCCAATTAACCCCCACCCCCCATGCTTTTTAGATTAAGGGGACCCCAGTATGTCATTTTATATATATGGCCCAACTTCTTAGTTCTTTGAAAATGCCCGGAGAAGCCCTTGAGTGCAGCCAAATGGAGAGGAAAGTGGTGAAAACATCAGATCACTGCAAATAGCCTAGCTGACTGCAAAGTGTATACTTAGTTAATGCAATTAAAAAACAAAACGCAGGGGCGTGTGGAGATCTAAATTTGGTGTAGCCGCTTTGGTACAAATCCTGTTTCGGGGGCTACTGGAGTCAAATTCAAGCAGAGGAGAGAAGAAGTGGGAGAAATGGGGAAGGGCTGATGGCTGGCTGGAATCGGCTGAGTTGAGAGAGGGCAACGCGAGGCTGGAAGCCAAGGAAGCAAGGTTGGCTCCGCAGCTCCCGGTGAGGATGTCCGGGGGTCTCGGTGGGGACAGGGGGCAGCCGGTTCCGGGGAACCATGCTCGGGCTCCAGGTCTGGGAGGGTGGCTGAGACTGGGTGCTCAGGCCTTGCATTGCACCAGATCTGGGCGTGCAGAGACGCACCGCGGTGTGCCCTCCTGTGGAGCGCAGGGAACGCTGCGAGGGCCAAGAGGGACAGAAAGTGGCAGGTCGGGGGCCTGGAAGAGTCCCAAGGAAAGACCTCCCGAGACATGCCATTGCTTCGTCGGCCTTGCGGGCTGCCTCTCCTTACCTCCTGCGCTTCTTTGACTTTAGTTGAGCCCAAGCCCCTCTCCACGGGGTGCTTACCCTGGGCCTAGGGGCTTACTACCCAGCCTTCCCAGCTCAGTCAGCCTTGGTCCTCCCCTCCGCCCAAGGAGTTGAGCCATCCGGAGGCGCTTCTGGCTGGAAGGGGGGAAGGGCAAGGTGGCCCCGCGCACCTGGGAGGGGCGATCCAGATCCGACTGCGCCTCAGTCTGTCTTGGAGTGGAAGCTGCCTCATCTGTCCCTGTCCCCTCCGAGTCACCCTTTCCCCGTTGGGCAGACTTGAGCCGCAGCTCCTGTGCCTGCACCCCTGAAAAAGCCACGGGCGGAGCCGCCTCTGCTCCGGGAACAGGTCTGAGCCGCGCCTCGCGCCCAGAGCGGGCGCAGGAGGTCCCGCCGCCGTCCTCCACCTGCCGGGAAATCCGAGCTGTTCCTTCCGCGGCTGCGAAGCTCCCTCTTGCCCGCCCGCCAGCCTGGCTGAGCTCTGCACGCCCCCTAACAGGCTCCCGCCCGCC